AAAAAAAAAAAAAAAACGTATTCAAGACGTTTGATAAATTAAGTAATCTATCTCTTTTTCGGCCTTGCTTTTATGTATACAGAGTTCAGTGACATGTGACGAGATGAAGAAATTTGTTGCTGTCTGGGACAACCGATTTCTTGAACAAGTGAAGTTGTGTTCTGAGCGAATTCCAGGTGAGTCGCACTTCTGTTTTCGAAAAATATGATTTTTAGAAGGTTACAATGTAAACATTCATCGTTTCACATAACAGTGGTTCAGAGGGTACACATCATCTACCGCAGGATAATTGACATCAGCAATGTTTCAGGTACTCATGAAGAGTAATATTGGTAGAAAATACGTACAAAAACGTTTCAAATATTGCGTTATTATGTACCCATGTTCAGCAAAGTGCAGCTGTGTACGCTGAATGCTTTTCCACAGGGGACTGAATTTTATTTTCTTGAAACCCCTTTTGGCTATGCATGTTACTCATTAAAAAATATTTAGAAATAAAATTATGGAACTTACTAACTCGAAGGTTTCAAGTTAGCTTTCAAGCGTATTGCATGTTCCCCAACGTCTGCTTCTTCTCTCTTCTTTACACTTCTTAGATCTTTGCGGAACATAAGTCTGACACCATGGCTTTCCACACTGCCCCTGCCTGTTTAGGACTGCTCTCTTGGCAGCAGCCCAAGTCACGTACGTTCCCCGATGTAATACAGTCTAAGTATGTTGTGTATTGTTTATATTTAAAGGGTGTTACGTTCCAAATGGTTTTCATTCCGAGAAACCTGTCCTTTGTGCATTGTCTGTCGACAACAAGATCTTGACTGTTTTCAAGGAGGAGAAGCCAGGACGCAGAGAGGAAATCGAAAATGTTGAAGTCAAACTTTTTGAAGCTGGTATGTACGTGTATGGACTGCACTCCAGTGGCCATGATTACGTCACGGACGAGCTGTGGGCTGCATTTTACAAGAAGCTGCTGGAAGAGAGACTGGTACCCAGTATTGTCTTGTCCAATGAAAGTCCAGGGTTCGACTGGATAAAAGCATTCGTACAGCCTGGTGGGTGATACTGACAAATATTATTATGATTTTCATATGATCTGGGAAAGCAAGGGGTATAGGTCGGGCAGTCATACTGTCAGTGCAGAAGTGTAACGACATGCCTAAAGAGAGCCATGCAGAGATCAGTACCATCTCCATTTGCAGGACGTTTATACATCTACTCACACTGCCCCTGCCTTTCTTCGCTGTTGGGAGCCAATGCACATTCGATTCAATCTCTACATCGTCAGTTTGCCTTTTTACCGTACCCAAATTAGCAATTAGCCAATCAGAAGTCCGGTCTACTGCCCTGATTTCCAGCGGTATCAAGTCACTGACCTGATGTGGCGTAATTTTGACTCAAATTTAGGAATCGTTTTTTCATGGTACGCTTCAGTACTTTGGTCTTACCATGGGTGTTTGTACAAGCCATAGCTCGGCCAAGCTCTCCTGTTATGGCGTTGACGCGGTCCAAAAACCAAAAAGATATCTTGTCAATGAATTCTACCTTGTTAAAGGCAATTAATAGTCAATTTTGAGCTTGACTGATTAAAATACACCGAATAAAGGAGCGCGCTGTTCGTAGCTTCCAAACAGAGTTGGATGTTCCTCCTCTCGCAAACGTTTCCTTGTAACAATTCTCCTCCTTTAAGACGCTTGGGTCGATTGCATAATAACTCAAAAACGAATTCAACGATCTCTAACCGAATTTTGTACTGCAGTGTACAACTGGTGATTAATGTAAAACCCTTTTGCTTTATTATTGCTATAGCAACCAGCCATCCTTGGCCCTGGAAGTGGGAATTGCATCACGGTATTGTGCCCCGAAAGGAGGATTACTTCGATTACCTGCCGATAAGTGCCGCTCTGTGGCCAGCTTTGCATGGATTAAGAGAATTCCTTACTCTAACGGCAGACAACGTGTCTAGTTTTCAGTTTGATGATTTCAAGGTAAAGAAGACGTTGATAATTTATTTATTGTAGCCTTCGTATTTTCATCATTTCTCCAATGCCTACCCGTTGTTCTTGATTAACATACTAGATAAACTAGATATCGTAACAGTGCAGAATACGGTTATTTGCCTTCGAACGTATCGGGCGAAAGTGTTTATCTTATTTTATACTTTGTTTTGACCCACGACTAATGTCAGCAATACTGCAGTCCGTGTACGAGATCAGAAAAGAACCAAAGGCAACCATTCCAACTGAGTAAAGTAATCATCAAGAGACATCGGCTTTTTATGATCTTTTCTAGACTTCAATCCCTCACAGTTTCTCCTTGTAGCTATAGCTGTAGTTTTTCAATATTGACCAGAAGCATCTCTCCTAGAAGCTTAACTTTGTGCTCTATTAATTAAGCCATTAATGTATATTTGTATTTTGCATTAAGGACGTCCACACCGTCGAGGCTAAAGAAAAACAAACAAAGGAAATGGCTGGCAAAGCCATTCAAGAACTAAAACGCGAGCTGCACCTGCTGCATGGAATTAACGAGCCAATCATAAACGCTTTGGCGGGAAAATTGACGTTTGCTGTTAAAGAGACGGTGAAGGGCGTTATTGATGGCGAGCAACCAAATGAAGAGACAGTAAAGAAGCTGATCGATATGGAAAGACTTGCTTTTGGACGTTCTGAAGTGGAGAGAACTGAAGAGAGTCGACAGCAGTACGCAGCCGCAGTACTTCGTGCATGTGAGCGTGCGTGGTAAACACTTACCTGAATTTAGTCACTGTAAACAAACAGTTGAACTGTTCGACGATAGTTGCCTATTGAAAAAATCGTGTTCTAGACGACGTACGCAGCCGCAGTACTTCGTACATGTGAGCGTGCGCGGTAAACACTTACCTAAAAGAACGTCACTGTAAACAAACTATTGGACGATTGTTTCCTTGTTGGCTAATTATTGAGAAAACTCGGTAATCTAAAGTTGTATCAAATCCGTAACACACTTGCTACTTGCTTCGTCAAGTAGATAATCTGCGGCCTGTCCGAGTCGTAATGACAGAGTCCCCGTTTAAACCTCAATTTAGACCCAAACCAGTTCAAAGTTCAATTGTAGGTCATTTTAATCATGTTGCCTCGTGTCAATACAGCTTTAGTTGGGTTTGTCGGAGTGAAATACGGATAAATGTAATTGTTTTGAACTAGTTTTTAGCTATCTTTATGAAAACAAGTATCATTCGATCAAATTCACGTTGATGTGTTTTCAAAATGTGGTGATACTCAAGAGCTTAATTTAACGTAAGAGTGGCGTGAAAGTTTTCAGTATCAATTTTTTATCTCCTTATAATTTCTTATACAGCAATATGGTCGTTATACAACGGTTTCAGTACACAAACCATTTTTTCCTGTCAGTGTGTCAGGTTTAACTTCCTGGAATGGTGTGGAAACTTCATCAAGGTCACAGTGGTGACGAATAGCGACACATGTGTTTTCTATTTACTGGAATAAAGATTTTAAATTTAAAAACTGGGAGAGATTTTTTTAAAGATATGAAAATTCACTAGTATAGATCGTTTCAGATTGGTCTTTTATGCAGAAACACTTAATTAAGATTTAGACTTTAACAGGCCAATTTAGGGTTTATTTTCAATGTAACGCAGTTGTAAATAAACTGAAACGACGAACTTTATAAATTAATAAGTATGTGACCTGTAGTATAGAGTGTTGCTTTTTGAAATTCAACTGTTTGCCCGTGAGTATTTTGTGCGATAAGAAGTGGTGCCTATTTCTGATCATGGATCCAAATGTTTGTTTTAACTAAGCAGTCACTTCCCACATCTCTGGGAAATATTGCACGGGTATGCGAGAGTTCTGAACGTGATTATCCACCACCCCTAGAAGCAGCGATAACCCCCGTCCGGACGGTGGCAATAAAATTTAACGTTTGATTTGGAGAGTATTAATTGTTCGAAAGCAACAACCCTTCGAAATTAGCCACCTTGGCAAACCTTGTGCCTTTTAGTGACCTCAATGGGGAATGGTGGATTTTTTTCTGATGTGAGTTTTTTTTTTTTTTCGCAAGTCTCATTTTCCTCTTCTCCAAACTGCCGAAATGTTTTTTTTTTTTTTTTTTTATCTTGATGTCGGCACACACGAAGACACATGGGAAGTCCTCGAGACAAGATCCCGTCACAAGTTCCTTGAAGAGTTTACACGCGGGAACTAATTGCACAGGAAAATGGCAAAAGCTACGGGAAAAAGATATCATTTGTTCCCTCTTTAATTTGGCTTTCCCAAAGTGAAACTGATTGTTTTAATTAACAGCGGAACATTGAAATAAATCAGCGCAATAAAACTGCAGATAGTTCAGCTAAATTATTCAGTGGTTACTTTTACTGCGCCTTCATATAACATGCGGACTCTAAAATTCAAAGCTCAACCGATAGATGCGTTTTTCGCTACCGCCAATCAAATGTTCGGTGGCTCCTCACAGATTCCGACAACTGCCGAGCACTGTTTCGTTGTCTGAACTGTGCTCAACGATTTGATTACCGCGCGCTCAGCAGTAGTCGGAAGCTGGGAGGAGCCGCTGAACATTTGATTGACGGTAGCGAAAAACGCATTTGTCGGTTGAGCTTTGAGTTTTAGAGTCCGCACGTTATTGAAAGGCGCAGTAAACAAAGTTGTCGATTTTGTTTTTCTTTTTTATTATGTAAAATTCTATCAGAATTCTTGTGGTAGCATCACTTTAGGCTGCTTCTAACATCAACATCCCAGACTTGGCCCTTCAAATTAAACCAATTTGAATTCCTTCGTCCTTGTGGCTACTTTATATATATATATATATATATATATATATATATATATATATATATATATATATATATATATATATAATGGCCAGTACACACGAAGGAACGTGTCCCTGCGAACTTTAACAAACCAGTGTCTTGTGACAGGCGCATGCACTACTTTGACAGCGGTTTTACTCACAAGTTAACCTCGTTTCCGTTTTTCCGAGAAATATTTCGATTTATTCCCGGAAGTGAAAAACGCTTACGAAGCATATAAATTTCAGTGGAGGAAAACGTAAAGGTAAGGGTTATTTCTCCAGTTATGTTTATATATTTTAGGGAAAGGCATCTGACAACAAAGACCTAGAAATTCTGTTCAGGGAAAGGAATCTGACAACAAAGACCTAGAAATTCTGTTGAAATATTTCTATAAAAGATCGGGCATAATTATGACAAGGATTGAAATTTTCTTAAAGCAGGTCGACACCGGCCGAACGCTGAAATTTTCATTCAGAGAAGAAGGAAATTCTGATTTTCGACAGAGCTAAATGGTATTTTAACTGTGTGAAAGAATAAATCGAAGAGCAAAATAACGAGTGAAATATGGTGCTTCATTCGGTCGTTATGTGTATAGAAATAAACGGAACATTTTTAATTTCTTACCGTTTTATTCCACGAAAACGACGAAGTTTATAACATTTAACAGGTTTCAGTCGAACGCTTTTCTATTTATTGATGAACCGCACGTTTAGTTAGTTCTAAGATCACTAAGCTGTTGAAACGTTAGACTTTCTGCTTTTTCTGCTGATTAGAAATGATCTCCATATGATAGAGCAGACATAGGTACACACACATAGGGAATTTTAAACCTAAATGCCACAGACTTATTAGGATTACCTCGATACACCTATAATATACATTTCTCTTCTTTATACCTTTCCAACAAAGCAATTCGAGTCTGCAATTTGATCAGAAGTTTACAAACTTCTGGTTTACATGCAATGTGTTTTTGTACAATATTTAACGATTTTAAACCAAGTGGTTGTATTGTAACTTGTGTGTTGGTTGCATTACAATTACGTATCATTACACGCGACAGAATTTTCAATGAGGATCTAAATTAATGGGGTTGTTGGTTTCTCTCCCTCGGTTATCGGTTAAATTTTCGGCGATTGTTTCGCTGACAGTTCAGTTTCTGCCCATTTCTCATTTGTTAGTAAACGTTCTTGATCTCGAGTGATAGTGAAATTGAGGATTGACCAATTCTACCCCCATCCAGATCCACTTCCAAAAGCTTCTTGGCAAGACTATTTTCCCGAGACAAGACTCATTTCTATACAAGAAACAACCCAGTTCAGCGATTTCCCAGGTAAAAAATAAATGTATTGAAATAATTTCATCTCACTACAAGTACTAAAGCCGCAATTTCCCAAAATGGCGGACGCTGATATCATCGAGGCGCCAGAATCTTCTTCCTCCCCTTCTTACATGTAGTACGCTGGACAAAACTGTTCCGTATCGACGTTTCACAACAAAAATTAAAGCGAAGTGACACAAATAATTTTGCGATTGTCTTAAACTTTATTAAATTCCACACATGCCTGGCAACTTATTTTATATGGATCACGCAAGAAAGGCTTGTGTCACACCTTGTCCAAATTTCGTAACTGAGTCGCAAAGTATGGAAATTCACGTGATTTCTGAGAAAAAAACAGAAGTCACATTTGGAGTGCTGTTTTGCGAAGAAACTCTTTAAGTGTTGGTGGATTTTGTTTGGTCAAGATTCTGACAGGAAAGCATGAAAAAGACTTACAACTTATTTGGCCACTGAAGTAAGATGCTGTCTTCAGAAACTGACCTTCTTTAAAGTCTTGAAACTGTTTTTGCCTCTGGATTGGCCTTCCACCTGTTCTGAAAATGACTGCCGTTAGCTCGCGCTTCGTACAAGCCTCAATTGTACAAAATACTGCTGCGTTAAAGCATTTTTGGCCAAGAATCTCAGACACTGTTATTGTGCTTTTTGGAAAGTTTCCGGACCTGTTCTCGGACCCAATCTGCCAGGAGCTTGCCATTTCTCGTATTTTCTGGCATAACATACGCGGCAGTTAACGATACTAACAAAATATTTTTTGTGATATTTATAAAAAAGTTTTGAGAATTTCCGGCAAAAAATATTTAGCGAATTTTACGTGATTTATGTCGAAAGGAAAAGCCTATTGCTTGGAAATCAGTGTTTCCTAAAGGGCTAGTTCGCTCAGGAGACATGACTTGATCTACCTCAAGTCTACCTAGGGTAGTGAAAAAGTTTGTAGAAATCATATTTAACAAGGGGTTCGGTAGGTGATAGCTTGGTCCAGAAAAATACTGGGCTCCAATAGTCTAAGTTCCAAGGAATGGTGAAAGTGCTGGGTTTTGGGATTCCAGAGTACGTAAACACTGTTTGAACTACGCAACCTATTACTGATCAACTATTTAACCTTGAGGGGAGAGAGGGAAAGCAGGACACAAAGTGTTCCATTTAGTTTACTTAAAAGCATGCAAGTTATAACGGCACGGCCTTGTGACTTTCCGTAAGAAAATATCGGGTGTGTTGATAGACCATATTGGTATTCTCGATATTAGACTGGAACTACCTTGAAACTGAGGCTAATATTTCGAGTCTTTTCAAATGCAATTGACATTAATGACCATTAATCTCTATTCAGTGACATTCCCCCGCATGAGCCTCCATTTCAAGCTAGTTCCAGTCTAATACGAATTTGGCCTATTGCAATTATTTGGCCTCGTGATTGCCATTTCTATGCATGGGAACCATGTTTTCAAAGGATGTTTAGGAGATTTTGGCTTTCATGAGGAGATTATTGAAAATGAGTTAAATTGGAAATGTTCTAACATCTTTGACCCAGATGGCGGACATTTTGAAGTTCGTGTTGTATGACGTCATGACTGAAAGCTGTTGCCACTAAAACAGGCATTTTTGGCTGCCTTATTTACCGTATAGATGTTGATCACTATAGGGTGAAAAACGTGGGAGTGGGCAATTTGTGCCTCTCCTTCCTCCCTCTGGGCTTACGACCAAAAAACGTTCCAGATTAACAGGATTAAAATACAAAGTGTGAAATGCAGTCGGCACACCCCACACCTGTTAACTGTGCTCCCTTCTCTTCTTTTGCCATTGTTTCAAATAACGAATCCGAGCCACGCGATAAACAATGATTTTGCTTGACAACTACATATACGTAAACATTTCTTTTGGTCCACTTCCGATATTTTTGTCACAGATGTGCTAAAATTGAGACTGATCATGAGTAGTTTTTCTCGTACGCCAAATGTACCTAGAATGTACCAAGAACACCTAGAAGAAAACACTAAGTAAAGCTATGAAGGGAGAACAAATTCTAATTGGCTTTAAGCGAATTTTGCAGAAGACGACGACACAATTTCAAACCTCTTCAATTTGAAATGACAACCTTTACATGCGCAACCCATTACATCACTCTTTGTATAGCTTCAGTGCGCTTATGTAGTAATTCTTAACAAACACAATAACATTTAACAATAAACATTTGGCTGTCAGTCAATGAAAACATGTCTTTTGGTTTGACGTCTGGAAGTTCTATTCAAGGCTTCCGACTTCTTGCGAGTGACGAGTTCAATATGGTTAAATATGTAAGTGTCGATCATTTGATATGTCGGCCGGAGGGAGAAAGTCGGTATTATTTTTTGTTACTTTCTTTTTACTATTAACATAACTCGTGGCTGTTTACGTTTGAAGGAAACTGTGGAACTCTCTTATTGGTAATGAATAACGAGGACGCCGACGAAACACATGATTCAGTTGAGCAAGCAATTCAACAGATCTGGAAGCAAAGCCCAAATCTGCATGATGCAGTTGCCGAAGAGCTAAAAGAGGTCCTGGCAAAATTACAATCGCTACCCTGCAAAAATGAAGAACAACGGGCCTCGTTGTTTGAAAGCTTTCAGTGCTTACAAGGATACCACATTGTTCAGGTCTTCAATGTAGGAGTTGCCCGCCTTCAAAAGTCCGTAAAAGAGCCCTCAAAATTTGTAGCAAAAGTCATTTCGCTTTTCCAAATGTGTTTTAATTTTTGCTACAAAGCTGGCGAGTCAAAGCGCGTTTCATTTGAGCATTACATCAGAGCCTTAAAGCTCTGCTTTCCTTCTGATCCGAAGAAGTCCTGCCAATCGATTGAAACCGTTTCCATGCTACTCAACCTTGTACAGATTCTTCAGGAAGGAAAGCTGTGTGCTCCATCGTTCATCGAGTTCAGTTTGACAAAACCAGCTAAAGGACCAAAGGATCTCTTCAATGAACTCCTCACTATATTAGAGTCCAAACCGTACGATGAGTCAGATGTTGATGACATCATTTCTCAGTCATTGAAATTAGCTTCTGCAGATGCTAATAACCACACTGTTCCCATGCATCTAGCGAAAGTCTTTCCCGATTTACCATTCCAATTTGATCAGCTAATCCCAGCCATTTTCTTTAGGCACTGGATTGATCTTCTTCAATTAACCAAGGCGGGTGATGCCGCTTTTATTGCTCGCGTAGCCAGTAAAGATCCCCTTCAAAGCTCCTCGCCAGTAACATTGTCTCCTCTCTGTTATATGGCGCATGTTTTCCAAAGGATGAAGCTTGGCGGAGAGCAAGTTGACCTCTCCCACGATAAGGAGAGACTAGACGCTTTCTTCAGGAACGTTGACCATCTTTTGGAAAATGATTACGAGACAACTGTCACCTTACTGAAACTACTCTCGTCTAAAAACATTAGCCACACAGTCTTCGCAAAGGTTTGTGAACTGTTCTTTAAGGGGTGTAGAGAACCGCGACACGCCGTGTCCCACAGAGGACAAACCTTAGATTCTATCAGGCAACTGCTCTTTTTACTTCCAGAGGGAAGTCTGGTTATAAAAGTTCTTAATTTTTGGAATGACTTTGTACCAAACGATTCAGACTACACCATCCTTCAACGATTAATGACACTCTTTACAGGACTAAGTACCAAAGGATCAGGTACCAAAGGTTTTAGCTTCAAAGATACAGCGGAAAGACTGTTGAATTTTATAACCAATGTTCTCCCTGGTTCCATAATACCCTCGATCCATTCTTGGGCACCATATCTAAGGCTTCTGATCGCGATACTTCCAACCTCGTTTGAGAAACTCCCGGGGTTAGCAAGTTTCATTGGAAAAGTCGCCCAAACAACCGCATCTCAACCAAAAACAATGACCGAAAATCAGGATGGAGCTTTGTCTTTTCTGCATTGGCTCTCGGAACAAAGGCACAGGATAGAGGTCAAAGAAGACATGGCTGACCTTTTTACGCGCTACGCAGATCCTACGTCAGGTTGCCATTTGTTCTTGGTGGATCTCTTTAAGTCATTGTGCTTGTGCAAACCCTTGCCTTTCATCTACATGGAGACTTTTATTCAGGAAATGGTTTACTTTTCCAGTCGCCTAGAGCCCAACGAAAAAGACGCCATCCGAGATTTTGTGTCCAACGTCGCCGCATCAGATCAAAGTCTTATTAATCAACAAGACATCTTCACCAAACTTTGTAACACAATGAAGTACTTGTGGAACGATAACAAAGCTCCAATGAAATATATTAGAGTGAAAACATTCGAACTTATTTCATTGCTGGCCAAAGTTACTCTTTCAAGCCGGAAAACAGCGCAATTATTGCAGCTATCAAGGAATTCCTCCAACGGCCTGCAATGCTGTCTTCGATATTTACAACTTATTACCTCCACATCCAAGATTCCCAACAAGGAAAGAGCTTCCGAACATTTTGAACTTCTGTTTGCAGCATTTTTCGAGACATTGAATGGGAACAGACCCCTCTGTGAGATTTTTTACCGCTATCATCGCAGTTTCACCGCACTCTTTACCACAAGTTATCCTTCTGTTGATTTACTGAACATCTGGAGTTTTGTTGTTGCTGGGCTCTTGTCTTTGGATTTGCTCGAAGAGAAGGTTGATTTGCAGGGCTGCATGCCGGTTCTAGCTAAGGCAACGGGATTTGATTCTCCATTCCACGCTTTACAACTTTATTTCCTGTCAAGATCAGTGTTTTCTAGGCTCCTCAACCTGTCGAGAGGAAGAATTCAAGGCTTGCCCTTTACCCAGGCGGGTGGTAGGGATGCATCACTTTGTGATGCAACAGCGGATCTAGTTGAAAACTTTGTTGAAGCTTCGAGTCTTATCGTGCAGTCAGACGTCTTACCACCTGAGGAAAAACTGATGTTAATCGACAAAGTATGTGACATAGGTCTCAAAAACCCTGATATCATGACTGCAGGTATCTTGTGCCGTGCGCTTGGAAATCTCATACCAATCCACAGTGGAATCCGCTCTGAGGACATTCCCCCCGACCATTTGGAACTTCGTCACATCCTAACCATCCTTGAACGTCCTGGGATGTTGGAGCAACTTGCCAAAGTCTCAACGACGCCATCCAAATCATTGTATTCCATTCTCTGCTCGAAGATTCCCAATCCAATTGCCAAAGATGATGTTGTGTTAATCTTTGACTGTGTTGCCTCCTTCAAGAATGCCGATAAAGTGTTCATTGACCACCTGTTGGTTCTCTTGGAATCTATCACCAAAGTCTGCAGTTCAGTCAGTGATGTATTAGACCTCCTAGTGGAAGCAGAAGGAGTTATTCGCGAAATCCGTCCTGAGTTGATTCCTTTGTCCATTTTGATCTTTTCATATCTTGTTGAAAACAGGATAGCTAACGAGGACAGGGCTGCATTTATCGAACTAGTCGCTTTGGAGTGGGAGAGCCCATGCGATTTGGACATGTACACCGACTACGAAATTCCTCAGCTTCTTTGGAAAGCCTATCAAAGTTCCAGTGGTAGAGGAAGAAAGCTTGAGGCTATAGATCAAATTCATGAAGTCATCGCGCGATGCAAAGATCTGGAAACACATGCACCGAATGGAAAAGTCACTGAAATGAACCACGTGCAGAGAAGTATTGCTTGTCGTGACTTACAGTGGCTTGTTCTTCATTCCTCGCTAACATGCGAAGATGCTGCTTTGTGTTTCCATCTATCTTCGTCTTACCCGGCCGTTTATAGTTTAAAGTGTTTCAGTTCAGTATCTGCCATGCAAATTAAAGATGGCTGTTTAACACCAATTCCTCTTCAGCAAATCGAGGCAAGCAACGCAACAGGCGACAAACATCCATCTCGCGTCAATGGTGGTACGCAAGACTCAGTTTCAGAGCAGGCCACAGCATCACTGCTGCCACTCCTGACACCAGCTGTAATTGCAAATAAAATGGTTGTTCAACTAAGACGTCTTCTTGGAGATGACATCCCCCTCCGTGATATTGGGATAGAGCTTTGGAACTCTTTGTTCGCAAATCACTGCCTGCCCTGCCCAGATGACATCTGCAAATCTTCAAACAGCTCGTCAACTTGTGACGATTTTGTCAATCTCTTCCTTTCAGTTATGGAGAAAGCTTCATATTTAGAGGTTGTGCTCTTCTGGTTCGGAAGACACCCTGACCGAAGTCACCCGTACCGAAATCAACATCACGTTGTACAATGCTCAGACGTCTTACTTGAGTCGTGTGCATGGAACGGGAAAAACGTGGACAAAGAAAGCCATCTACAGATCCAAGGTGAGGTTACTGCAACCCTGGAGGTCCTTAGAAGTGTCAATGAGGACTCAATTTTTCCCTCCTTGTCACAGACCGTGAACTATTCACCAATGTGTTTCCGTCTTCTCCAGCCGCAGTTGAAATGCCTTCTTTGCATTCTTCAAAACAAATTTTCATTTGAGGTAACAGCAGGGCTTCTGAATCTCGCCAGAATCGACTGNTCCCAGGTAAAAAATAAATGTATTGAAATAATTTCATCTCACTACAAGTACTAAAGCCGCAATTTCCCAAAATGGCGGACGCTGATATCATCGAGGCGCCAGAATCTTCTTCCTCCCCTTCTTACATGTAGTACGCTGGACAAAACTGTTCCGTATCGACGTTTCACAACAAAAATTAAAGCGAAGTGACACAAATAATTTTGCGATTGTCTTAAACTTTATTAAATTCCACACATGCCTGGCAACTTATTTTATATGGATCACGCAAGAAAGGCTTGTGTCACACCTTGTCCAAATTTCGTAACTGAGTCGCAAAGTATGGAAATTCACGTGATTTCTGAGAAAAAAACAGAAGTCACATTTGGAGTGCTGTTTTGCGAAGAAACTCTTTAAGTGTTGGTGGATTTTGTTTGGTCAAGATTCTGACAGGAAAGCATGAAAAAGACTTACAACTTATTTGGCCACTGAAGTAAGATGCTGTCTTCAGAAACTGACCTTCTTTAAAGTCTTGAAACTGTTTTTGCCTCTGGATTGGCCTTCCACCTGTTCTGAAAATGACTGCCGTTAGCTCGCGCTTCGTACAAGCCTCAATTGTACAAAATACTGCTGCGTTAAAGCATTTTTGGCCAAGAATCTCAGACACTGTTATTGTGCTTTTTGGAAAGTTTCCGGACCTGTTCTCGGACCCAATCTGCCAGGAGCTTGCCATTTCTCGTATTTTCTGGCATAACATACGCGGCAGTTAACGATACTAACAAAATATTTTTTGTGATATTTATAAAAAAGTTTTGAGAATTTCCGGCAAAAAATATTTAGCGAATTTTACGTGATTTATGTCGAAAGGAAAAGCCTATTGCTTGGAAATCAGTGTTTCCTAAAGGGCTAGTTCGCTCAGGAGACATGACTTGATCTACCTCAAGTCTACCTAGGGTAGTGAAAAAGTTTGTAGAAATCATATTTAACAAGGGGTTCGGTAGGTGATAGCTTGGTCCAGAAAAATACTGGGCTCCAATAGTCTAAGTTCCAAGGAATGGTGAAAGTGCTGGGTTTTGGGATTCCAGAGTACGTAAACACTGTTTGAACTACGCAACCTATTACTGATCAACTATTTAACCTTGAGGGGAGAGAGGGAAAGCAGGACACAAAGTGTTCCATTTAGTTTACTTAAAAGCATGCAAGTTATAACGGCACGGCCTTGTGACTTTCCGTAAGAAAATATCGGGTGTGTTGATAGACCATATTGGTATTCTCGATATTAGACTGGAACTACCTTGAAACTGAGGCTAATATTTCGAGTCTTTTCAAATGCAATTGACATTAATGACCATTAATCTCTATTCAGTGACATTCCCCCGCATGAGCCTCCATTTCAAGCTAGTTCCAGTCTAATACGAATTTGGCCTATTGCAATTATTTGGCCTCGTGATTGCCATTTCTATGCATGGGAACCATGTTTTCAAAGGATGTTTAGGAGATTTTGGCTTTCATGAGGAGATTATTGAAAATGAGTTAAATTGGAAATGTTCTAACATCTTTGACCCAGATGGCGGACATTTTGAAGTTCGTGTTGTATGACGTCATGACTGAAAGCTGTTGCCACTAAAACAGGCATTTTTGGCTGCCTTATTTACCGTATAGATGTTGATCACTATAGGGTGAAAAACGTGGGAGTGGGCAATTTGTGCCTCTCCTTCCTCCCTCTGGGCTTACGACCAAAAAACGTTCCAGATTAACAGGATTAAAATACAAAGTGTGAAATGCAGTCGGCACACCCCACACCTGTTAACTGTGCTCCCTTCTCTTCTTTTGCCATTGTTTCAAATAACGAATCCGAGCCACGCGATAAACAATGATTTTGCTTGACAACTACATATACGTAAACATTTCTTTTGGTCCACTTCCGATATTTTTGTCACAGATGTGCTAAAATTGAGACTGATCATGAGTAGTTTTTCTCGTACGCCAAATGTACCTAGAATGTACCAAGAACACCTAGAAGAAAACACTAAGTAAAGCTATGAAGGGAGAACAAATTCTAATTGGCTTTAAGCGAATTTTGCAGAAGACGACGACACAATTTCAAACCTCTTCAATTTGAAATGACAACCTTTACATGCGCAACCCATTACATCACTCTTTGTATAGCTTCAGTGCGCTTATGTAGTAATTCTTAACAAACACAATAACATTTAACAATAAACATTTGGCTGTCAGTCAATGAAAACATGTCTTTTGGTTTGACGTCTGGAAGTTCTATTCAAGGCTTCCGACTTCTTGCGAGTGACGAGTTCAATATGGTTAAATATGTAAGTGTCGATCATTTGATATGTCGGCCGGAGGGAGAAAGTCGGTATTATTTTTTGTTACTTTCTTTTTACTATTAACATAACTCGTGGCTGTTTACGTTTGAAGGAAACTGTGGAACTCTCTTATTGGTAATGAATAACGAGGACGCCGACGAAACACATGATTCAGTTGAGCAAGCAATTCAACAGATCTGGAAGCAAAGCCCAAATCTGCATGATGCAGTTGCCGAAGAGCTAAAAGAGGTCCTGGCAAAATTACAATCGCTACCCTGCAAAAATGAAGAACAACGGGCCTCGTTGTTTGAAAGCTTTCAGTGCTTACAAGGATACCACATTGTTCAGGTCTTCAATGTAGGAGTTGCCCGCCTTCAAAAGTCCGTAAAAGAGCCCTCAAAATTTGTAGCAAAAGTCATTTCGCTTTTCCAAATGTGTTTTAATTTTTGCTACAAAGCTGGCGAGTCAAAGCGCGTTTCATTTGAGCATTACATCAGAGCCTTAAAGCTCTGCTTTCCTTCTGATCCGAAGAAGTCCTGCCAATCGATTGAAACCGTTTCCATGCTACTCAACCTTGTACAGATTCTTCAGGAAGGAAAGCTGTGTGCTCCATCGTTCATCGAGTTCAGTTTGACAAAACCAGCTAAAGGACCAAAGGATCTCTTCAATGAACTCCTCACTATATTAGAGTCCAAACCGTACGATGAGTCAGATGTTGATGACATCATTTCTCAGTCATTGAAATTAGCTTCTGCAGATGCTAATAACCACACTGTTCCCATGCATCTAGCGAAAGTCTTTCCCGATTTACCATTCCAATTTGATCAGCTAATCCCAGCCATTTTCTTTAGGCACTGGATTGATCTTCTTCAATTAACCAAGGCGGGTGATGCCGCTTTTATTGCTCGCGTAGCCAGTAAAGATCCCCTTCAAAGCTCCTCGCCAGTAACATTGTCTCCTCTCTGTTATATGGCGCATGTTTTCCAAAGGATGAAGCTTGGCGGAGAGCAAGTTGACCTCTCCCACGATAAGGAGAGACTAGACGCTTTCTTCAGGAACGTTGACCATCTTTTGGAAAATGATTACGAGACAACTGTCACCTTACTGAAACTACTCTCGTCTAAAAACATTAGCCACACAGTCTTCGCAAAGGTTTGTGAACTGTTCTTTAAGGGGTGTAGAGAACCGCGACACGCCGTGTCCCACAGAGGACAAACCTTAGATTCTATCAGGCAACTGCTCTTTTTACTTCCAGAGGGAAGTCTGGTTATAAAAGTTCTTAATTTTTGGAATGACTTTGTACCAAACGATTCAGACTACACCATCCTTCAACGATTAATGACACTCTTTACAGGACTAAGTACCAAAGGATCAGGTACCAAAGGTTTTAGCTTCAAAGATACAGCGGAAAGACTGTTGAATTTTATAACCAATGTTCTCCCTGGTTCCATAATACCCTCGATCCATTCTTGGGCACCATATCTAAGGCTTCTGATCGCGATACTTCCAACCTCGTTTGAGAAACTCCCGGGGTTAGCAAGTTTCATTGGAAAAGTCGCCCAAACAACCGCATCTCAACCAAAAACAATGACCGAAAATCAGGATGGAGCTTTGTCTTTTCTGCATTGGCTCTCGGAACAAAGGCACAGGATAGAGGTCAAAGAAGACATGGCTGACCTTTTTACGCGCTACGCAGATCCTACGTCAGGTTGCCATTTGTTCTTGGTGGATCTCTTTAAGTCATTGTGCTTGTGCAAACCCTTGCCTTTCATCTACATGGAGACTTTTATTCAGGAAATGGTTTACTTTTCCAGTCGCCTAGAGCCCAACGAAAAAGACGCCATCCGAGATTTTGTGTCCAACGTCGCCGCATCAGATCAAAGTCTTATTAATCAACAAGACATCTTCACCAAACTTTGTAACACAATGAAGTACTTGTGGAACGATAACAAAGCTCCAATGAAATATATTAGAGTGAAAACATTCGAACTTATTTCATTGCTGGCCAAAGTTACTCTTTCAAGCCGGAAAACAGCGCAATTATTGCAGCTATCAAGGAATTCCTCCAACGGCCTGCAATGCTGTCTTCGATATTTACAACTTATTACCTCCACATCCAAGATTCCCAACAAGGAAAGAGCTTCCGAACATTTTGAACTTCTGTTTGCAGCATTTTTCGAGACATTGAATGGGAACAGACCCCTCTGTGAGATTTTTTACCGCTATCATCGCAGTTTCACCGCACTCTTTACCACAAGTTATCCTTCTGTTGATTTACTGAACATCTGGAGTTTTGTTGTTGCTGGGCTCTTGTCTTTGGATTTGCTCGAAGAGAAGGTTGATTTGCAGGGCTGCATGCCGGTTCTAGCTAAGGCAACGGGATTTGATTCTCCATTCCACGCTTTACAACTTTATTTCCTGTCAAGATCAGTGTTTTCTAGGCTCCTCAACCTGTCGAGAGGAAGAATTCAAGGCTTGCCCTTTACCCAGGCGGGTGGTAGGGATGCATCACTTTGTGATGCAACAGCGGATCTAGTTGAAAACTTTGTTGAAGCTTCGAGTCTTATCGTGCAGTCAGACGTCTTACCACCTGAGGAAAAACTGATGTTAATCGACAAAGTATGTGACATAGGTCTCAAAAACCCTGATATCATGACTGCAGGTATCTTGTGCCGTGCGCTTGGAAATCTCATACCAATCCACAGTGGAATCCGCTCTGAGGACATTCCCCCCGACCATTTGGAACTTCGTCACATCCTAACCATCCTTGAACGTCCTGGGATGTTGGAGCAACTTGCCAAAGTCTCAACGACGCCATCCAAATCATTGTATTCCATTCTCTGCTCGAAGATTCCCAATCCAATTGCCAAAGATGATGTTGTGTTAATCTTTGACTGTGTTGCCTCCTTCAAGAATGCCGATAAAGTGTTCATTGACCACCTGTTGGTTCTCTTGGAATCTATCACCAAAGTCTGCAGTTCAGTCAGTGATGTATTAGACCTCCTAGTGGAAGCAGAAGGAGTTATTCGCGAAATCCGTCCTGAGTTGATTCCTTTGTCCATTTTGATCTTTTCATATCTTGTTGAAAACAGGATAGCTAACGAGGACAGGGCTGCATTTATCGAACTAGTCGCTTTGGAGTGGGAGAGCCCATGCGATTTGGACATGTACACCGACTACGAAATTCCTCAGCTTCTTTGGAAAGCCTATCAAAGTTCCAGTGGTAGAGGAAGAAAGCTTGAGGCTATAGATCAAATTCATGAAGTCATCGCGCGATGCAAAGATCTGGAAACACATGCACCGAATGGAAAAGTCACTGAAATGAACCACGTGCAGAGAAGTATTGCTTGTCGTGACTTACAGTGGCTTGTTCTTCATTCCTCGCTAACATGCGAAGATGCTGCTTTGTGTTTCCATCTATCTTCGTCTTACCCGGCCGTTTATAGTTTAAAGTGTTTCAGTTCAGTATCTGCCATGCAAATTAAAGATGGCTGTTTAACACCAATTCCTCTTCAGCAAATCGAGGCAAGCAACGCAACAGGCGACAAACATCCATCTCGCGTCAATGGTGGTACGCAAGACTCAGTTTCAGAGCAGGCCACAGCATCACTGCTGCCACTCCTGACACCAGCTGTAATTGCAAATAAAATGGTTGTTCAACTAAGACGTCTTCTTGGAGATGACATCCCCCTCCGTGATATTGGGATAGAGCTTTGGAACTCTTTGTTCGCAAATCACTGCCTGCCCTGCCCAGATGACATCTGCAAATCTTCAAACAGCTCGTCAACTTGTGACGATTTTGTCAATCTCTTCCTTTCAGTTATGGAGAAAGCTTCATATTTAGAGGTTGTGCTCTTCTGGTTCGGAAGACACCCTGACCGAAGTCACCCGTACCGAAATCAACATCACGTTGTACAATGCTCAGACGTCTTACTTGAGTCGTGTGCATGGAACGGGAAAAACGTGGACAAAGAAAGCCATCTACAGATCCAAGGTGAGGTTACTGCAACCCTGGAGGTCCTTAGAAGTGTCAATGAGGACTCAATTTTTCCCTCCTTGTCACAGACCGTGAACTATTCACCAATGTGTTTCCGTCTTCTCCAGCCGCAGTTGAAATGCCTTCTTTGCATTCTTCAAAACAAATTTTCATTTGAGGTAACAGCAGGGCTTCTGAATCTCGCCAGAATCGACTGGCAAGCGGCAGGCGCGGTCACTGCAATCGTTTCTCCCTGGTCTTGCCGAAGATCAACAGCAAAATTGTTGGAGGGAGTACATGACCTGTTCAAAGAGCGTAAAATACCTGCACTTTCTTTTCTACAAAAAGAGTTTGTTTGGCACATGTTTGAGGTTTGTAGTGATTCTTACATGAATTCCCCTGAAGATCTGCTGGACAAGCTTCTTCACCTAGTCAATTTCCTCATACCAGGGGAACCAAACTGCGGACTTGATCGTCTTCCTGAGTGGCGGAATATGATGATCGCGGAAGGATACTCTGTGCACGTGATCGACAAGTGGTGTAAAGATTTTCTGTTTACGCCACAAGAAAATCTTTCATCACGTGATGTTGATGCCATTATTGATCTCAGTCCCAGCTCCTTGCAGCTTGTCGCACCTGTGTCTCAGCGCATTAAACAATGTATATTTTCTGACGAGGGCATCAAAGGCAATTCAATCAAGGAACGCCTAAGACTAGTGAAGCTTCTCAACGAATTTATTGAAGTGCTGAAAATTCGTAAGCCCAACGAAGCTTCCAGTAACTCTGTTGTCACAAGAATAGTTGTCGACGCTTGTGATGAACTTTGCAAGAGCTATTTAGACAAAAGCAGAAGTGACAATGACCTCTTCAAAATCCGTGGCGTTACGCTTGACGCTCTGTTTACTGAAGTGTTTGTCACATCCGACGGTGAACAAGTTAACAGTCCACACTCCAGTAGCGCTAACAAAGCACACGAGGACAAATCAAGCGCTCCAGGGCCTGCAGCAGGGCAAGGGAACTCTTCAAATCTTCTGAACCATGTAGAAGTTTACGATCCAATGCTGGTGCTATTACGGCGTTGGTTATCGAACATCGCCAACAAGCCAACCCTCGCCTCGTACACTCAAGAGATTGTACAAATAATTTTATCACAACACTCTACTGAAATGGGTAGTTCCCTCTTGGAGGAATTACACAACAAAATTCAAAATCGCATTTTAAGCTTCGCACCAAATCAGATTCTTATATCTCAGTTTCAAGCAGCAGGATACAACCAGGGAGACCCAGCTAATACCAACAACGACTTGTGGAAATCTACTTCTGTAGAACTTTCTTGTTATCTCAGCAAGAGCGAGTCCACGAGCAAAGAAGTAATTGAAAGGAAGTTAACCATTGTCCTGAGAGGGCACTGGATGCAGTGGAAAGATCTACTTTTTGTGCACAATATTCCCTCGATACGTGTTGGGGAGGCTAATGTGGATACGAAGGATCTCTTTGGGTTCCAGACCACTTTGAAGGAAATGGAGAATCAGGTTGCAGCCGTAAAGGAAAGAATCAGCCAAGTTCCTTCTGAAGACATGGACGGAAGACTAGTAGAGGAGCTGATACGTCAGGAACAGCAACACCGCGACAGGATAAACGAACAGCATAAGAGGAACAGAGTGAGTAGATCTTTAAATACTGGTTATACGCCCTGGGGCCTGTTTCTCGAAAGCCCCGGAAACTATTCGGGCCCACAAAGCCGTTTTTAGTTAATCTGTATCTTAAAACAGAAAGGTGTATACGCCTGATACTTCTTGTGTGAAGGGAACTTCTGTTCATGTTAAGAATATGATATTAAAACAGCTCTGTAATCATGAGGTTTGAGATTTTGCTATGGCTTTCCGGGTGCGAAAGCTTTTCGGGACCTTCGAAAAACGGGCCCCTGCACTTATACAACTTCGTAAAGCCGGGGTTTGGGTTAAGCTTATTGCTGGGGGAGCTTATATCGTCAGCGTTGGCTCGTGTCCGAGCATCAATTTCTTTCTTTTCGAGCTTGAATACCCCGGGAGAAATAGAAGCGGCGTGACAGAAAAATGAGTTTACAATTAAGAAATTCACAAGAAACGAGTTCACAAGAAACAAGGAAAAGATTCTAAAATAAAACAGCACGAAGCTTGCTTTGATCAGCATTTCACTTGTAACTGAACGTTGTTTATTGCCGATCAATACTTTCATTTTCCAGATTTCTTCCTTTCTTCGTGGTGTATATATTAGCTGTTCAATGATATCAACTTGTTTCGGCCTTTCTGCATTCGTCCCTTATTTCATCGTTTTATTTTTTTTAATGTAAATGGACGGTATCCGGCTGATGTATCGTGTGTATAAAAAGTATGCATCTGGCTGAGAACTTGCAATAGGCTACAATTATCCTACAGTGCCAAAAGTGGTGAAATCAGAGGTGGTATCAACTCGTTTCTTTCGGTCCTCTTGCTTGACTTAGAACTGAGAGTTTTTGGCAATATAATCTCCATTAACTCTTTATCAGAGCCGTTCAGAGACCAAGGGACGGAAGAAAGGAAAACAGAAGAAGGAAACGACGAAATTTGTGGCTGTGTGGGAAAACCAGTTTCTTGAAAACGTTAAACTGTGCTCGGAGCGAATCCCAGGTAGGTAGAGAAATTACCCCAGGTGCATGAATAAAGATTGCGGATTTGCAATTCATCATGAAGTATATAGTGTTTTCCCTACATTTTTAAAAACCTGTTTTGTGAACATCTGTACTCTATTTTAAAGAAAGCGCTCTTTAGCTTGGTCACGTTATTTTTCAATCCAACGACTCTTTTTGATACTTCTATCTATCTTTTTCCTATATTCAACGCCCACATAAAGGTAAATATATTTAACAGACCCTCCTTCAAACTAAAAAACGCTTAGGCTACTCTGGTTGGAGTGGCATGCAGTGGTAGATACGTTCAACGATTTGGTTGATTGGTTGTTGTTGATGGTTTTAAGGATGTTACGCTCCAAATGGTTTTCACTCCGAGAAACCTGTGCTTTGTGCTTTGTCCGTGGACAACAGAATTTTGACCGTTTTCAAGGAAGAGAAGCAAGGATGCAGAGAGGAAATCGAAAATGTTGAAGTGAAGCTTTTTGAAGCTGGTATGTACGTGTATGGACTGCACACCAGTGGCCATGATTACGTCACTGACGAGCTGTGGGCTGCATTTTACAAGAAGCTGCTGGAAGAGAGACTGGTGCCCAGTATCGTTCTGTCCACTGAAAGTCCAGGGTTCGACTGGATAAAGAAATTCGTACAACCAGGTGAGTGGAGACCACAGATATTCGAGAGGAACTCACTTATTCAAGGCCGTTTCTACAAAATTTACCGTACTTTTTTCGCTATGATTATTTTTTCAGAGAACGTCCATCCATGTACGTGGAAGTGGGAACTACATCGTGGCATTGTTCCACCGGAGGAAGATTATTTTGACTATTTACCAGTACATGCTGCTTTGTGTCCTGCCTCAAGACAATTCCTCACTTTAACAAGGGAGGACGTCGGAAAATTTCAATTCCGTGATTTCAAGGTACACGGCAAAACCTCAGGGGCTTTCGACGGTTTGGGATATCGAAGGGTTATCTGTGCATGTAAAACCTCCTCAAGGTCACTAAATTTGTATTACCATAAATTAAACAACATTCAGGGAATAAAAAATTCCGTTAACTATTCCGATTTCGCATGTGCTTTGTAGCACATGCTGGCGTAGTGGACAGGAAACAAGAGGTTTTAGGACAACCGATTCCCGGACTAGTAGACCGCCGAAGCTTGTTGGCAGATTTTACTATTATCGTAGGGGGAGAGGAATTTCGGTCGTTTCACCCAAAAGCCAGTTCGCCCGGCCCGTAAGTCGGTTCACCCGCACTGTTAGCTCCGTCGTTAATGTATTAAAGAACGAGAAAAAAAAAACATGTCTTGTGTAATTTTGTTTCATTGTGCCTACAATGTTGTGTTTTTCGTACGTTTAGTTAAAAGAAAGAATTTTAACACATCCTGCTTTGATCTTTCAGTCTGGGTGAACAGACTTTTGTTCATGGGGAACCGACATCGGGCGAACTGGCTATCGGGCGAAACCAACGGTTAGCAGGGAGAGAACCCTGGAGCGGATAGGGGGAGAAAGGGCTGGTGATTGGAGCAGGACCAATTTTTCAACAAAATTGCCGGTTTTCGTGTTCTTGTAGTGTGTAAATCGTTGCTTTAATCGGCAAGATATCTAAGATCGTCTCTTCATCAACTTTGATTTCGTTGAAAATGCCTATACATTGGCTCCGTATTCCAGGAGACATCTTTGAGGAATGATCCAAATACAAGAGAAGATCAAGTATGATTAACAACATATTTTATCACCTTTTAAACTTTAGGACGTGAATGTCATCGAGCAGAGACGTCGTCAGGCAAACGAAATAGCTGGCAAGTTGAAAGACAGTCGCCAACTGCAGCAAGAGCTGCGATCGTTGCACAGTGACGAGGAGCTCATCGAGAAACTGGCGAGAAAACTACAATTCGCTGTCAAAGAAACAGTCAAGCTCATTGTAAATGGAGAACGACCCACTACAGAGACCATCCTGGAAAATAAGCTAATTGATAAGAAAAAGCTTGCGCTTATTAAATGTGAAAAGTGCAAAGAAAATATAAAAAAGTGCAAGTGTAAATCGAACGAACCTTTAGCAAGTCTGGAGGAATATGCAGCTGTGGTGCTCCGCGTGTGTCAAAGCGAGGACGTGTAGAGAGCGTTGTGTAATGGCTAGCTCGATACTGTAATCTCAAACAAACAAACAAAAAAAAACACGTCCAGAAATGCACGCAATCGAAAAAAAAATTGCGGAAAAATTCTTCTGAGCAGTAATATATTATTTTATATTATAAGGAATATTTAAACAAATTTATATTATGACAAAATGTTTTACAAGGTTAGAAATTTAATTATAAGTAGTAATTTTATTATTATAATTAGGATAACTCTTTCCAAGGCACAAGAGCAGAGTTAGAGAATGTCTTCCTAACCTTTGCAATTTGCAAATCTGCTATAACACCCGTAAATTAATACCCTATTTTATTATATGGCTGTGTCTCACAAGGACTGGGAACTACCCAATTCACCAATTTGATTGGCTGAAATCGATATTGACCGCGGTCTAGATTTTCCCATCTAGACCGGCATCTAGACCGGTTTCATTTTGCGTTGAAAAAGTAGCGAACTAAAATACAAAAATGTTCATCATTTTCTTTTGTTTTCTGCTCAATCATTTATGGAAGTGCCAAAAAGCCTGATGACAAAAAAAAAGTAAAGAGGACGAGCAAATTTCGGCAGGTTTAAGTTAAGCTCATCT